ATTTTCGGCTTGTCCTAACATCATCGGCTCTTCCTCTGCTTCCTTCGGGTTTTCTCTTCACTTAAAATTGCGCAACCATGAAAGTGGATCTTCAGCAAGAGGAGAGAGTTTGTCAGATTCGACCGCCGAGTAATTCCCATTCTGTTTTCGCTTTTTCCTACTTGCGTTTATTTCTGGATAATCGTTATGTCACTTGTTTTAATTTTTTCCAACTTTTCTTCCAATTTTGACTCTTGATCATCACCGTTAGATATTTTTATTATTCTCCTTTCCTTCATATTATTTCTTTTTAACTTGAAAATTACATTAGGAGATAAGTGAATTTTCAATGAAAAATGTGTTTATTAGAGATGTGCGAACTATTCGAATTCGAATCCCTATGATTCAAATCCGAATAATTCGAAAATTTCAAATCCCGAAGATTCGATTACGAATCAAATACATTAGCGTTTGCGCACATCAGCTACAAAATAGGCCATCTGGGCCTGTATGTTTGAACCCTTAACTTGTAATTAATTTAACTTATAATTAATAACTTAATCATAAATTACTTTAAATATTTAAATATATATTTTACTTTAAGATGATATTACAATATCAATATTCCCTTTCATATTAAAATCTTCCATCGTTATTTGCATGTTTAATAGTCATGTTCAATGTTTTAATGATTCGATTCGATTTCATTCGATTCGATTCGAATTCGAATGAAATTTCATAGATTCGATTCGATTCGAATTCGAATTTGAAAAATGAGATTCGATTCGATTCGATTCGATATAAAAATTCTTGATTCGCACATCTCTAGTGTTTATCTGATTCGCGATTGACAAGTATAATTCCTGCCTATCCCATTTTCCTTTTATCATCACGTCAATTTCCTAAGATTCGTTATACCGGTTTTCCTCCAATTTTTCCGACAGGGTACAATTCGTCATATCTTCGTCAGATATTTTTATATCAGTTCTGTCCTCCTGTTTTTCTTCTGCTTTCCTTCTGTTCTAATTGAAGATCAAAAGTTCGCGTTTCGAGCAGTTCTCCGCGTTTTCTCAGCGCGTCGGAACGGCTTTCCCCGGGAAACGAAGGCGCACTCGTGCGCGCGCGCAAAAACTCGGAACATAACGCATTACGAGCGCGATTACGAGCTGCGCAACAATTGCGCAATCGTGTCAGCGAACGCGACGGGATATAATATTGGTCGGCCGGAGCAAAACGTGAGCGACGAAACGCGCTCGTAATCGCTGCACAATCGGGAACATACTAGACGGTCGTGCGGAACCGGCCGCTCTGACTTTCCTCGTGTATGTATGTGTACGCGCAGTTCCTTCGCTTCCCGTTTGTTTCGCGGAACAATTCGCCGAGATGTGGAATAATTTTTGCTCTCTTCCTCTCTCTCTCTCTCTCTCTCTCTCTCTCTCTCTCATGCAATCACGGATCAAGACCTCTCGAAAGAGCGAGCCGTAATGTGACTAACGACCGTAAAGTCTCGCGCGACGTTCTGAAAAATTCCCGAAGAAATCATCAGGGGATGGGATTAGTAAATAAATTGATCGGTAGGAATAACCTCGTTTTTCTTCCCCTTTCCTTCTCGCTTCCTCCCAAGCTAAACTCGCGGAGCTCGCGTCTCGAAACGCGAGGATAAATCGAACGTCCGTGGGACATAAACTCGAACGGATGTTGCCTTTTCTTCTCCTTGGGCTTATCAATGCCACTTCTATTTCCGGGCACGAGCGGAAGGCGACGGCGTGCGTCGTATTATAAGCCAGCTGCTGCTCTAGGACGTCTAAAGATACGTCTAGAGAAAAGTTCTCGAGCGCGAACTTTGACGCGCTCCCTCGTCTCGCGCACACATACATATACGAGAAAGAGAGACAGACGAATAGGCAGACAAACAGACAGACAGACAGACAGACAGGCAGGCAGGCAGACGAAGAGAGACCAACTGACGTTGCACCACGTTGCAGGAACCTCCTCGAGAGCTATAGGAATACAAGGAACTCGGACCTCGACGCGCATCGCGAACGTCGCAGCGGCTCCTCCGGGTCTTCCATGAGAGGGTACGTCTCACTCTTTCTCTCTCCGGCCGGTGACTTCGGTCCCAGTGACTTCGCGACGCGTCCCGAATAGTGAACCGATCAATTATACGCGCAATTAATTGCCGCGAGAGAACGAGCACGTGGTCGGCGCGTTCGCATCGCGTCTGCAAACGTAGCCGTTCCTATCGCAGCAATAAAAACAACTACGACGGCTTTAGCTTCGGTCTGTTTGGCTGAACCGTTGCCCGGCGACAAGTTAGATTGATTCGCGAGGCCGAGGGGGCTTCTTCGCGCGTGATAACATCCGGATGCCTCTGAAACGAGACTAAGGGAAGGTCTCGAGCGGTCGTGAATAATACGAAGGATCGGGAAGAGAACGCGCTCTGCGCGTCCAAAAGTTTCTCCCCGTCGTCTTCGTGTGTCTCGATTGGAATGCTCAGATTTACCTCGAATCCGTTTTTCGCGCTGCCGTGACACTTGGAAACTTCGTTTTTTATGTCAAACGCGAGTCTAGAATTTACTTTTGTTTTCTCTTTTATAAAAGGAAAATATCGATATATTTTTATGGAACTAAGTAGCGAAAATTCTACTGCTAATTTGAATCCTTACATTTATTTTACATTTTTATATCTCATATTTCTATATTAACTGTTGAATTTGTGACTAAAAAATTAAAGTTATGTATCTCAAACGTAATATTATTTAATTGCTACGCGTAGATTAAATTAAAAAGTATTTCGTTTGATTGAAAATTATAAATAAATATGGATTTGTATAAAATTAATGTCAAATAAATTATTATATAGTGTTTAAATCGTAAGTTGTTTCGATTAATATGATAAAGATAAAAATATATTATTTCCAGCTTGGATTGTTCCAAGTTGAAACCTAACATATCATTTTATAAAATTCGTACGGAACAAAAACAAGTCGGAAACAGATTTGTTCGAGGAGATTTCTCTCCTCTTAGAATATATTTAAAAATATTTTTTTTTTTAATTTAATCAACGTGCACCGTTAAATAATACTACATTTAAAATATAATAACTTTAATTTTATGTTTTCCCGAATTCAACAGTTAATATAAAAATATGAGACATAAAACTGTGTAACTGTAAAAGATAAAAACACGATTATATTAGATTCCAGGAAATACATCGCGCGAAATTCGACCGCTTGGAAATCCGAAAGGCGACTGCAACGAGGCGAGCGCGCAGCATCGCGCTGAAAAATCGTTTTCCGAAACACATTCTCCGCTCGACCGATCTAGATCCCTATCAGCCATGAAAGCAAAGCATTTGTCGAAATACATACACGGTGACGTCAACGCAACGGCTTGCATTTAGTCACTTCTTAACGCGTTACGTAATCGTCTCGACGTGCGAGAACGTCCATGCGCGCCGCCGTCTATCCGCGGCCGGAACGCGATGATTTACGTAAAAACTTTCCCGAGCCAATTATTTCACTTTTCTCCGCTCCTAGATAATCTATAATTCCTCAGATACCGTTTCAGACGCACGTTTCCGCGGCTGGGTCGATTGCGACAGAGTCGCTCGCGCGGAAACGCCTCGAAAGGCGCGGGACGCGCCCGCCTGCGAAAGCCTCTCGCGCTATCAATTTCGCGTATCGAGTGGCGTGATATATCAATTTACGCGATCGCGCGTATTACGCGATCGCGAGGGCCGGGCCAAGTCGCGTGTAGCCTGAAGAAAGAGAGAGAGAGAGAGAGAGAGAGAGAGAGAGAGAGAGAAAGAGAGCCGACCGAGTTAGAACTCCGCCGCGGAACGAGGCCGAATTGTTTACTCGCTCATTACGGCGGCCTTGTTCGCGAGTACTTTCAACGAACCGCTCGCTCCGCCGGCCGCGGTTGTTTGCTTTTGCATAATTAATCGGATATACAAGCGTTGCGCCATTCGACCCCGCCGCGCGCGGTTTCACGTGCGTGCGTGCGTACGTGCGTTTCTAAACGCGTGTTGCGTACAGCCGTTCCCGTTGCCCTCGCCCTGATTAGGTAACTTCCCCGCTGTTGCGGAGAGAAAGAAATGGTCTCGGCTCGTGAGACTGTGAACGGAGACCAAAGCAGAAGGGGCCCGGGGCGACGGGGTTGATGATGTTCACTCTGATATTGCGAGCGAAGGAACGTCAACTGCGAGCACTCAGCTGTGCAAAACTCGGCTGAGACAACCGAAAACGAGCGGTTAACTAGAGAGACCCTCCTGCAGGAATCTTTCCGTCTCTACTAGCGAGTTTCCCGTTCGGTTCCCTGTTCTTCTCCTCCTTGCTTCTCTCCGGGCGATATTCGCGCGGGAGAGAAAATTTCTGTTCTCGTAACCGAACGAGGAGCGGGAAATTCGGCGACGGGGAACTAGTCGGAACTCGAGCTAGAAGACGTTCATCTGGACGTTCAACCGTATTCAGACTCGGTTGAACTTGGAACAACCGACTGGTCAAAAACCCTCCCTCGGGAATTGTTCGCCTTCTACCGAGCTTTCCGTTCGGCTCCCATTCTTTCCAAGTGGCGGGAGAGATTCGATTATACTGATGAAATTGCTTTACCCTCCTTGCATGCACAGATCTCGGTTCGCGTAATTGAACGAGGACCAGACGTAAAGTGATATCCTCGCGACCGAAGGAAAAAATTATCAGCTGCATTAGAACTCGAATGAAGTAACAGGAGACGATTGGCTGATTGGAAAATTCCTATAGGAATTTTTCTACTCCCACAACCGGACTTTCCATTTGATTTCCGTTGTCCTCCGGGCGACGGAAAATTCGATCACCGCATTACGAGAGCGCCCGTTCGCTTGCGGGCACTCGACGATCAGAAAATATCGTCGGGAGGGTAAATCGGGGGTAGAAACCAGGCGGGCATATTTTTTTATCACAAGACGTAAAAATCAACTTTTATTACAAAATAAATAAAAGTGTTGTTGCCGGGAGAGACGAATGGTGAAGGGGGGGGGGAAGAAAAGGCGTCCGCTCTGAGATGTCATAGTGTCTTCTTCGATGGCATGCCGCACGATTAATTTCGAGACGATGGGCGAATGGTTGTTGTCGGGGAAGGATTGTTGTTGTTGTTGTTGTTGTTGTTGGCAGATGGATGGCCTGGTGGATCTTGTCCTTGGTCTCCGCGCGTACTCAATGGGTAGGTGGTGGCTGGTGGTGATGTGTGATATATGCGTGTCATATGTAGCGTCAAGGTGGCGAAGAGAAGAGTCGAAAGAATAATCAGAACAATGGTTGAAGTAGAAGAAGAAGAGATTAAAAGGGGGCTTTGCTTGGAGTCTGGCTGCCTGGTCACTGCGGTCCTCGAGCGGCCCAAGACGTGCGGCTATCCTGAGGCAGTCGAATCCCACTGTTCGAGCATACACCGTCGAGGGCCAAGGTTCTCGTTCGTGGCCCAACGACGTGGTCCCCCGGCCGCCTGATTGGAATCATCGGTGGGCGGGGGTCGTGCTCGCTTGACGAAAAATCGACGGTTCGCCGCGCGACCGATCGGTCGCCGGTCCGTCTGTTTGTGATCTCGCGTCTGCGTGGTCTTGCTGTGTGTGAGAGTATGTTTAAACCTCGAGCTGCCTTCATATCAGCCTCAGGATGACGCGCTCGACATGGACCACCCCGGACCAGCGGGTCTGCTGGCTATCTGGGGACAGCTTCTTCTTAATGGCCGTATCCGTAGCCGTGTCCGTAGCCGTGTCCGTGAACAGCGACGTTCGTGACGCTGGGTTCATAATGCGGGGCCGCGTTGTAGTGCTCAACACCCACCAAGTGCGGATGCCCCACATGCGAGCCAGTGTAATGGATCCTGGTGGTGTGGTCATTGCCGTGGAGAGCCAACGGGTGGGCGTTCAGGCCGGGGATCGGAGCGTTGCCAGCAACGTGAACGTGCTGGGCTCCATGCTACGAGGGAAAATACCGTTGTTACAATTCGCTCTGGAGTAGTCGATCGCGGTCTGATGATGTAGTCGAGCATCGCACGAACGACCGTGATCGTTCCTCCGGCTTCGTCCGGGAACGGGCGCGGCTGCGGACGCACGAATTACTCCCGAGGGAAGGGCCGGTTCGATACGACCTTCATGATGATTCGCACGATAATTTTAAGATTCTAAGATTTGTTCCAAGTTGACGCAGAGATCGCGATCGTCTCATCGCCCGGAACTTCCCGTTAATCAAATAAATCTCAGGATGACAACATCCTGAGATGTATAAAGACTTTCAGACGGTTTTAGATGTAACATCTCGGAATTGTGCGAATTTGATATGCGATTAAATCGCATTGTACAGATGAATGTAATTTTGAAACTAGACCGTTTAAGCACCGGACGACACGCGATGCCCGCGCGTGTGACTCGCTCACGCTCACGGGGTTCGGGTCTTTATGCGGGTCGCAAAGATCGCAGATACATCAGTCGCTTCAACGAGCGTGATCGTCGGAGCTGAGTCGGAAAATTTGCGGAATGACAGACGTCTGAATAACTTACGCCGTATCCACCAGCGCTGACAGCCGCCACGATGGCGAAGAGGACAATCTGCAACGATACGACATGATTTAACGTAACACAGTTGACATCACAGCAAGTTGATACAACGACGGCGCAAGAGGAAAAATACTCCCAATAAATATTTCACAGACTCGCGGAACAATAGAGATCGACTGCGACCCGAAAAAATCTCTCTACTAACTCGAGAGAATCCGATTTGATAAATAAATACAAAAAAAAGTAATCTATATATCTAAATACACCGGAATGAGGCAAAGCGCGATCCGATAATTACTAAAAAGGCTAAGACAATGCTATAAAAGAAGAAAACAGACTGTACAGACAAAGCTACAAAGAAGAAAGCCAATCTATCAAGTAGATACAGAAAGAAGCGTATTCGTATCTTAAGTAGACACAACCAGAAACTCAATCCGGCGACAATACGGGACTCGGACGTCCGAAGCGAAGAGATCGTTCTAGAGAAGCCACAAGTGAGCCAAAGATAAAAGGAAACGAGGCGAGAGGCGAGATCGACGACTATGGGGGCGATTGATCTGGCGAGACGTACAACGCGCGCGCGACAAGTCCACAAGCTCGGAAACGAATGATCTAACCGCGGCGCGGCGACGGACAAAGAGATATGGCACGGTCGCTGGGAGGAACGCCGAGGAGTTCTCGCCTCGGCGAGAAAGGGCCCACAACTTACGAAGCACTTCATGGCGAGCGGTTTTTCTTGCGTGTTATGCAGGGAAACACTACGTGTTCGAGGGGCGCGCGGTATGCTTTTATAGCTGGGCCCAGCCCAAGTCCAGCCGCTCAGGATCACAGGCGGGGGTACGGCGTCCGCGTGGCACACGGACCCCTTTCACCGACACGTCGCCAGCGACCCTTGCGGACCCCTTATTGGGTGTCCGCCCAACTGCGACCGGCCAGTGACACTTCCGGTGCCACGACGGCGGCCACGACGAGACGACGACGGCGACGACGACGACGAGGATGATAGGAGCACGATGATAGGAGCACGTACCTCTGATCATCCTCGAGGACACGCGGAGCGTCGCAGGATCATGAGCCGGGGCTGGGGGGGGGGGCATGGTGCCAGCCACGGAGGCGGCGATGGCGGAGGCGGGGACTTGTCGATCGCGTCATTGATCCGGTTCGCGAAAAAAATCCTCTCTCGCCGTCTACGTACGCCGCTCGAATCGAGAATGTCGTGTTAAAACGTGATGCTAGATTACAGTGATTAACGCAGTCGGATGGTTGGATTTGCGAGATTGCAAGTTTACTCCATATTTTGCGGAGTTACGCGGAATTGCGCTGTGTTCCGCTAGATCGCCCCGGGAAAAAATGAGTCGGCGGGCGCGCGTGTGCGCGTGCGAGGGAGACCCGCTCGCCTCGTCTCTTTTTTTACTGTTTTGCGCGCTCTTTAGCGTGTTTCTCCAAGTCGCTTTTTCCAAGGGGTCTCAAAGATCGCGGGAGCTCGTTGCGCTGACCGCTCGCGGGATCATGTTATTCGATAAGGTCGCGTGCGCAGGAGGGGAACCCGCTACTGCATGACATGCGTCACGTATGTCTTCTCTTTTCATTGAATGTCGTAATACGCGTGTATTTTTCTTTGCTCTTGAATATCCTAATCATGTTGTTAATATTGCGTTAATTAAGGACCAGATCTACATTACATTATATTTTTGTGTATTCTTCTGTGTAACCAAATAATATGCTCTTTTCCTCGTTGATGGATATATTATTACATTATTGTATTATTACATCATATTATTTGAAACTGCTTTGTATCACTGGTCTATTATCATTATATTAATCTAATAAAAAAATCTAATAAAAAAATATTATATATTATAATAATATACAATATATATTAATACATTGATATATTCCTATATAAAACATGACCGTTGCTATCCAATTCAGCGCGGCGTGACCAGATTTCTCAGCTCCCCCCCTCCCCTTCCAGACTCGGGAAATGAATAAGTGGCGAATATTGTGGAGTGGAGTAAAAACCGACCATTACGTATAAAAGATGTTTTATTTATGAACATGTAAAAAATAATTCGGCAACAATAAAGGTCTGTTGTATGCTGGAAAAGTGGAAACCATCGCTAAGATAAAACTCATTTTCTTACTTTGAAATGATGTCAATATAAAAGAAAACTGAAGATTGACAGTTTAACTAGTCGATCTACGGAAAAATGTTCTTGCACGAAGGAAAATTATTTAATCCGGGATAAACTGGAGCAGCTCGACTGAATTCGGTGAACTAATCGGTGTCTCGAGTGGCCTTTGAAAAGATTTGCAACGAAGGGTGGAAATTCGAAGGAAACGGGACGTTTTTACATGAACGTTCTAACGCATTAACATGCTCGGGGATTTGATTGTTCTAGATAGCTGCAACTTTGCGAGTTTCGTAATTAGTCGATCTTACAGATTGTGAAAAAGCTGGTTTGAACGTAACTAGGCTCGTTCTTTATAATTTTCTGGTTATGCATTGCGATTTAATTTATTTTCCGATCCCAGGTTCAGGCGGACACACGTTGCTGTACGCGAGAGCTTATCTCGAATTATATAACAGTGGGAATTGCTCGGAATTCGAGGCTGAAATTAATTTTATCTGCCGTCGGTTGTGGGTTGAATCGATGAGATACAAAATCCACTCGTAAATCGGAGTTCTGCGAAGCGAAGAGTTCTAGAAAGTGGCATCGCGTCTCTCCAAAGGCAGAGTTCCACTACTGGCTGTTGTAAAAGTACTACAACATTTATAACATTATGTACTTTTTACATTGTATATATTATATTTTTGTATATTTCTTGTGTAACCAAATGGTGCCCTCCTTCTCGTTGATAAATATATCGTTACGTTATTATATTATTATATTATTATATCATATTATTTGAGATTGCGTTATTATATTATTATATTATTATATCATATTACTTGAGATTGCTTTATATTACTGTCTATTATTATTACGCGTCTAATCAAAAAATATTATATGTATAATGATACATAAATATATTAATACATTGATATATTCCTATGTGAAGTATGACCGTTGCTATCCATTTGAACGCGCGGCATTTGAGGTGCAGCGACCGCTGCAAGGAGAACACTACGTGGGAATCTGACACGTCCAATCGAATTCCCTCCGGTAGGCTCGCACACAGTCCTACCCTTTCAGGTCGATCGGCAGTGCGACAGAATGATATCCATTCGCTGCGACTAATTTATGCCTGCTAATAAATGGCCGCTATATGCCTGGTCGCTCGGCGGGCTGCAGAATTTTCATTTTTTCTTTCCGTCTCTTTTTTCCTCCTCTTTCTTCTTCTCCGCTCGATCGCAATCCCCTTTACAAAATGACCCAGTTCACGGGGTGAACGTGAGGGAAACTTTCACGGAGATACTCAAATGCAACCTCGCGCACGTAACAGCTGTAAACACGTGTGTTTGTTACACACGACTGATCCCGCGGAGACTCCGCGAGAATGCGGCTCGTCCGGAAAAAGCCCGGCAGGAAATGTCGCTGGATAGAACGGCAGAAAACGGTAGAGCGTAATGTCCTTTCGGAAAAGGCGTTGCGGCAATTTGTTTTTGCGCGGCGCTCTACGGGGGCGGAGCCGGGTGTATCGCGTAATATCGATTTTTCGCAACTTTGTTTGTTCCAATCGAGCGAACACGCGGCGACGGTGACGCGTTACCGTCGTACGTGGGCCGCTTGATGAAGGGGACGGAGGGAGAAGAGGGCTAAGGGGACGGAAAAGGGGGCTCGTCGAATGAAACGCCTGCGAACTAGTCTAGTTTTATCACAAGACGTAAAAGTCAACTTTTATTAGAAAATAAATAAATTGCACCGCGGACAAAGAAGAAAAAGAATAGAGAATGGGAGGGGGGCGGGGTAAAGAAAGACAGAAGGAACTGGGGTCCGAATAAGCGGGCGAAGAGGGGGGGGACGAAGAACGCTTCCGAGGGCTTTCCGAGAGTAGACCGACGATGAGGCAAGAGTCTTCGTGGTCGGGCCAACGAATGGAAAGGGGGCGGGGGTGGGTCAAGAAGTAAAAACGCTCTGTCTGATGTTGTCTGATGACATCTTCTTCAAGTATCACACGCCGCACGGAAATTTTTCGCTGTCGCTGACAGGTGGTGGTGGTGGTGGTGATGAACGCAAGGGTGGTCAGGGAGAATAGTTGTCGCGTGATAGATTGCCGCCGGATGTTGTCTTTCGTGTCTGTGTGTGTTTGTGATTGCGTGTCATATGTAGCGCTAAGGTAAACGAGAGAAGTTGCGGACGACTGCTGTTTTCTTGAGTCGGGCTGCCTGGTCTGCGGTCCGCGGGTGGTCCAAGACGCGCGTCCATCCTGAGACGGTCGAATCACGGGGGCGAGCAGTAGGGGGCGGGAGCCGCTGCCGCTGGTGCTGCTGCTGCCGCCGTGGCCGCTGACGTCGCGGGCCGTCACCGAGTCGTCGGCGTCCTGACGATGGTCTCCGTGGATGTCGAGACCTCGGGACGGCGGTCGCGCGCTCTGGACCACTCTGGACCGGCGGTTACGTTCGGCGGGTGAAGTCTCGCGCGCCCGGACCTTACCAGCCGTGGCCGTGGGTCTTGACGACGGAGATGGCTGGCTCAGGCGCCTGTACGTAGTGCTCGACGCCGACCAGATGCGGATGGCCGACATGACCGCCGCTGTAATGTATTCTGGTCACATGATCGTTGCCCTTGTAAGAGATCGGTGCTGGGTGCGGTGCCGGGATCGCCGGGGTCTGCTGGATCTGGGCCACGTGGTAGGTCTGCGGCAAAAAGGGATAGTCGTTAGCTGCTTGCTGTCCATCTGCGGGTAGCTCAAGGATTCAGCTTCCCGCGGTCTCTCTGTCTACCGCCTCGCGATTGCGAGTGATAATCGCCTAAAGGAATTGAGCAGGAATTAGCAGCTCTTAATGGCTCCGTCGGTAACGCTTAATAGTCCACACGAGTACGTACTGTCCTGTGCGGGTGTATTCCTCCCATCGACGTTAACCCACCGCGTAGCGAACAACGAAATAATTGATCAATTGATCAAGGAGATTGGATAAGACAAAGCCGGATGAATCGAAATTAATCCGATCGCGATCGCGATTACTTCAATCGCAACTAATAAGTAACCATTTCATCGCTTCACGATCCCTCGGCATAAATCAAATACTTCAGTTGCATCGTCATCGAAATCAGCTAATCACTGCAAACTTCACCACAGGAAGTCCCTATGAAACTGGCAACTTTGTTGAAACTCCCAACAACGTCGTTACCATCCTCTCGCGTGAGCGATCATGGAATGGCCGGCTCTAATGAGCCATTAGAGCTCCAAGGCGCTACCGTAGCAGCGTTGCACGGTAGCGGAAATGAGCGGCGTAACGATAATTCGGAAAACGCTTAGGAAATTCTAATGAGCGCTGCCTACGATGGGGCGGGCGTTCGCAGCACGAACAAGCCGAGCGAGCCCGCGGTGATTTCGGCCGAGGGAGCCGAGGCTTTTGCCACAGCGCGGCCTTTATGGGCCCGATTAAGCAGGAAATCCAATTAGCTAACTGTCGGACACCACGTCCGCCGGCACGTAAGCACCGGCAGACACGTAACCGCCGATCGGATCTTGGCGCAACGTAACATTAGAAATCGGCCGGTCGTTAGAACGACAGAACGGGCCGCAATCAGCGGCCGAACGATCGGCGTTTACTCGGCCACGCGTTCCCCTCTCCCCCCCCCCCGCCCCGCCGCCTGCCCGCCCGAGTGACCGCCATCTCTCTAAATCCGCGATTTGCCGAGCAAACGTACGCGGCGGGAGAGAACGACTCGTTTCTTCCGACGATACTAATTTCCCGGAGTTTTTGCCGTCCTGAAATATTTCGGATTTCTCCGGCGACGTGTATTAATTTCCCGGATTTCCCCTCCCCGCTCCGGCCACGACGATTGGAATGCCGCTCGTTGCTCGCTCCAACGAGCGTTGGAACAGTCGGCGACGATCGGAATGCCTCCCCTTGCTCTTTCGGCCTCTTGATCTTCTTCTTGTCAGAGACTCGAGGTTCAAAGAGATATCGCAGGTGGGACTCGACGAGAGCTTAACGCTCGTGCCTGCGTGGTCTGACTGAACCGACCTGTCCTCCTCATCTTCGCTGTTCTTTTCTCATTACCTTGGCGTACGACACGGGAGCGGCGACCTTGACGTATTTCGGCGCGGGCGCCACCCAAGGCAGGGGTGCGTGCACCACCGGGCTGTGCGCCACTGGAGCCTGCACCAACGCGGCTGGAGCCACCCAAGGCTGAACGATCTGAGTGCGTCAAAAAGTCTCTCAGGTCAGACCGATCGCGCGTCGCCGATGTTGTTAGGCGTTACTTCGTGTTACTGCGTCGCCGAGTACGTTCGAGGCTACTCGGTCGCCAGAGAAGTTGAGAGAGAGAGAGAGAGAGAGAGAGAGAGAGAGAGACACAAATGGACAGATAGATGAAGACGAGTTCAGCCCGCGGTCCATTAGAAGATGAAGAGTCGCGGAGAACGATATGCAGAGAGGTGAAATGGAGGTCGAGAACAATGCTTCGTTGCGACATGCAGTCGTCGAAGAAAAAGAATATAGAAAGAAGAAGAGAGAAAACTTGACGAGTGGAGTGGATTAGAGAACTTGAAGAGAAGAGTAGAGACAGGTTGACGTTTGCGAGATCGAGATGTGAGATGCGTTAGACGACGTGACGACGTGCTCGATGAACAGCGACGAGAAACTTCGACTTCGCTTCGTAGGATTAATTGGCGAACTGAAAGATTAATTCATGACTTCCTCCCCGAGGATCCTCCTTGACCGACGATTGGCTCGTAAGGAAGAAACGGTGGTGGCGCAGTGTCGTGCAGTTTGTTAAACTGCGGCCAGCCCGAGTAGCTCATGTCTCACTCGGGTGACGAGGAGTTACTATGCGGTTACTTGCGGAAAAAGAACTTAAAGAGTTTAAAAAAACATTAATGACGCAGAAGACATTAATGACAGCTGGATGCAGATGTCCGACGAGAGCGTTGAAATGTTTGCAATTTGATTTATTAATCGTGAAGATCGAGCCGGAGATTATAATAAGTAATCGATAGTTAATTAATTCATGTTGCAGCATTAATAAATAAAATAATTGTTACTGTTGATAACGGATCGATAAAATTAATACATGATGAAAGAATTAGTGGAGAAACGTGTAATAAAGGAAAAAAAAAAAGCATACAAGTAGATGAGAAAATTAATCGAATAAATAAATGAGAGAAGAAATAACTGAGACTGAGCAACGGAGCAATGGTTACGTATGACTTATCGTATGATTAATCAATTTTACAAAAAAAGAACGTACAAGTAGGCGAGAAAATTAATCAAATAAATAAATGAGGCTGGAAATAACTGAGATAAGCGAAGAGCAATGGTTACGTATGACGATTGGTCAATTTTATGAGAATTGTGCGAAGAATGTATGACAATTAACGGACGAAGATAAATGCAGACACCTCGCGTACACATTCGCGCGTCAAAGAAGGAACAACGAAAGATTTCACTTTGGGAAGCGACCGCCGCGAGTTCGCGGGCGAAATGTAAAAGTAAAACATCGCGAACGATCCCGACTTCGTACGTCATACGACTTTCGCGAAATTATACCGTGTGAACCGCGAACATTTCGCCTCGGAGCGGCGAGTGTGAAGTACTTACCTGGGCATGGCCACCGTATCCACCTCCGTATCCACCTCCGTATCCACCACCATGTCCACCGATGTATCCGGCGCTAGCGGCCGCGACAATGGCGAACAAGACAACCTGCAACGATACAACGCCGTGTGTATTGCAACGTGATGACATTTAACATCGCCGCGAGATATTCGGAATCTCGGCGGTCTATCTAATCCGTTGTTACAAAGAGAGAAGGTAACAAATGCAATCGAGCGCACCGCGCGAGATTTCTCTCCTCTTATCAAACAATACCCCGCGGGGCGGGGCGGGGCGGCAGGGAGAGACGCTGAGTATCTCCACATTCAAAAGTGAGTTCAAAATGCATTTGAGCGTGTAAAGAAATCCGACCGGAGCGAATTGAAACTCATATGTATTTCTCGCGTGAAAGCGCCGAGAGAAGCCCCGTGATAATGAAACCTGACAAGCCTTCAATAACCGCGACGACTCGATGCCTCCCGGCAGCCTATCAGCGGAACGTGAAGCTCACGGGCGACTCCCGCGGCTCGTAAGCGCGCGGTGTCTCATTTGTCCCATCGCGTTCGCGCGCGCGCGCGCGGGAAGCTCTGTGGTCTTTCGGTGCAAGAAGCAACGTGAGGACCCTCGGGACCCGCCGTCGCGAGGACGACGACGACGACGACGACGACGTCAGCCGCTAATCTCGTCGCACAGCGGCAGACTCTAACTGCCCGGTTCGTGCCCGGTTACGGTGCGAGAAACTTACGAAGAACTTCATGGTGGACAGTTTTTCTAGTGCGGTACGCGGGAAAACACTACGTATCCGAGGGGCGACGCGGTATGCTTTTATAGCGGTGCCCTGCCCAAGCCTCTGCGCCTCAGGGATGAGGCGGGGGCACGCGCCGCGCTGCGCCGCGCCGTGCCGAGCCGAGCGCGGACCCCTTTCACCAATGGCGGATTGCGACCCTTTCGAGCGTCTCCCTAATCGGGAGCGACTTGGCGGGCCGCCTGCGGGAGCCCCTCGCTTCGGACCCACCGCCGGTGGGACAGGAACCCCGACAGGACGCCCGAGGGATGCCGAGGATCACCACCCTGCCGTGGACCACCGACCGCGGCAACCCCCTTCGCACCCTTCCGACCTCACTCTGCTGCTGCACCCCCTACCCCTTGGTCCCTGCCCCTACTGGCGATCGCCTACGAAATCCGCAACTCGTTAACCCGGTTAACGGTCAGCCGAGAATCAGGTGCGCAGGTCGCGCGAATAAAGAACGGCGGCGCGAGCGCACTAGTTCACGCGTTACGAGCGATCGCCTTCGATATTTTGCAAGATCGCCGTATTTTTCGTTTTGCGGAATTGCGGCGTTTCTCGCGGAATTGCGCACAGGGGAAATGCAATGTGTGTGTGTGTGTGTGTGTGTGTGTGTGTGCGCGCGTGTGTACGTTGTATGCGCGTAAATGTATGTATGTGTGCGTATGTCGTTTGAATGTGGAGCGCTAGCGAGCAGAGGGGGCGTGGGAGAGGGAAAAACGGCGCGGTTAGATCACCGTGCGATTAGATCGATCGATCGGTGCATAATTTGCTACTTCGCCGTGTCTTTCGTTTTGGGGAATTACAGTCTTTCGTAAGATTTCGCGTAAGGTAATAGTTCCATGCACCGCGGGAGGAGAGAAAAAAGAGGCAGAGAGAAAATAGAGAGAGGGAGAGAGAGGGAGAGAGAGAGAGAGAGAGAGAGGAAAGAGAGAAAGAAAATGACTCGAGGTACAGTGCGTTGAATCGCGACCGTGTCAAATGGATTGATGACAATCGCTTCTTGTCCTGTATGCACTGCAGAAAATGACAGTCTTTTTGCCGTTTCACAAACCACGAATCGATTTTTAACGTATGACTTAACGTCAAGCGATAGATAGCTGTCCTCGTTTCGGTGGAATTTCAGAAGAAAAAGATTAGAGATGTGCGAACTATTCGAATTCGAATCGAATCGAATTACATTAGATTCGATTCGATTCGAATCCGAATCCCTATAATTCGAATCCGAATAATTCGAATACGAATCATTTATATTATCGTTTGCGTGCATCAGCTACAAAACGGGCCTGTATGTTTGAACCCTTAACTTGTAATTAACTTAACTTATAATTAATAACTTAATTATAAATTACTTTAATTAATTAAATATATATTTTACTTTAAGATGATATTACAATATCAATATTCCCTTTCATATTAAAAATTTCCATTATTTGCATGTTTAATAGTCACGTTACATTTTTTAATGATTCAATTCGATTTCATTCGATTCGATTCGAATTCGAGTGAAATTTCATAGATTCGATTCGATTCGAATTTAAAAAATGAGATTCGATTCGATCGGATTCGACATAAAAATTCTTGATTCGCACATCTCTAAAAAAGATTGTGAAGAAGAGGAAAAGAAAAAAATCAAAGTCGAAAGGAGATGAAAAGAAAGAAAGAAGATAAAAAGAATGAAAGGAGGGAGGACAAAGAAAAGGAAAATGCAGAAAAGAAAAAAACTAGAAAAGAGAAAAAATAGAAAGAAGGAAAGGGAGAAAAGAAAAAAGAAAGGAAAAAATAGAAGGAAGGACAGCAGAGAAAAGAAACATGCTAAAATGGAAAGGGAAAAAGGGAAAGAGATCCAGAGATAAGAAAAATACAAACAAAGAAGGGGAAAAGAGTATTTATGTAGATGAACTTTCATAAATTTTTACACCAGAAAAAAATTGAAATGAAAATTAAGAGGAAATGGCGTATTTTCGGAGGCAAACTTTGCCTCCGCGGCGTTTCTCGAAAGGCCCGAGCATCGGAAGTGCGTCCGCAGGATAACGCGATAACGCATCGGCCGATGGCCCGAGTTATTCGGATTATTGCATTGCCGCGGTTTCGCAGATGTCTTGCGCAAGTTGCAAAAAACGACCGAGCGATTTTCTCTCTGCCCCCCTCACTCCGTGCGCTCCATTTTTCCCTTTCCGCGCTGCGTTACATCCTAATCAGCCGCTCTATCAGCGTGCACGCCCAATTACACCTGGCAAGGCACGAACGCACGAACGCACAGGCCGCTCGCGAAAACACGCTTTGCTCAGCGCGTGTTATGCGCTACGTCGGCGTAGGCGCGTTCGATCCTGCCCGCGATCGGATCCATCGCACGAATCGACGATACTTATTAGAGCGATCGCGAATATAACACGGCGTCATTTGTTCGAGTCGAGCTGGCCGTTCGCACGATCAATCTCTAACGGCGCAACTGCCCGCCGATGAAACAGATAGCGTCTGATGTTACTCAAAACGCAGTGGACTGTGAACACTACGGACTTCTGCTTGCCAGAGAATATAACGTTAAGAAAAAGCTCAACAAATCGCAGGAGGTATCGAAAGAGAGAAGTAAACCTTAAAAAAGGAGTTTGATAAAATATGAAAAAATGTCAACATAAAAAATAAATAATAAAATAATAAAAATGTAAAATTACACTCGAAATGTTCCGAATGCTGAAAATATGACATTGTTAGAATTCTATTTAATTCTGCAGGACTAATTATATTTTATCTGTTAATTATTATTTATTTATTTATTTATTTATCCATTTAAGGAAAAAGTATCTCCTTGGCGCAATAAATATGACCGGAGGATAAAAAGTAAAGAAATGATCTACAAATGATCTAAAATGTAAAAGGAGTAGAATTTTTATAAGGAAGAATAAATGGAAAGGGGGAAAAGAAAATAGAGAGAGCTGCAAGTTCAAGTATTCCAATTCAAATGCTTAATGATGAAATTTTGAGAAAGCTGCCAAAGACATATAACAATAATTAATTATGTTGTTAGAATCACTCTTTCAAACTAAATAATTAAATATTTCATTAAATATTCCGTATTTCACTTGCCACAGCAACTGACACTTTTATCGACTTAATTTTGAGTCGATGCGCATTCAAAGTCACCGTAATACAGAACATTTTTACAAACAACCTCAAACGATCCAAGTTTTAATTGGCTAAAATAATGGACAAAGTAATAAACAAAACTAACCGAACTTTATCCGTATAATTTCGTCGATGGATGAAATTAATGATCAGCGTATAATCAATCAAATCAGATCAGCCGATCGAAATACAATCATTATACGTTCTCATGATTTACTCAATTTTAATCTCAATTATATCAATCAACCGAAACTTTTTTATTAATTAATTGCCGCTCGAGAATCGCGGGAAGCAATTGTAGAGTCCCGTTTTAGAATCCTACAACCTGCGATCGGCAGGGAAGAAGGGCGACGGGCTCGAGAAGAATTCATCGTCGGAGCGTTCAGCAACAACAATGGGGAATTCTCTCGCTCACTCGGCCGCCGGTTTTGCCGATTTCGCAATGGCGCACGGGGTTGCCGAGCGCATTTCGCGAGAGGACGTGGGATCCGATGGCGCAACGTCGATCACAACTTCCAGCTCAGGTGGAGAACGCTCGCGAGAGACGAGGACGAGGACTGATCGGTGGATCTGATCCCCCAACTTCTCTCTCCATGCCGACCGCGAGATTCCGCAAAACACGGTGGGAGTCATTTTGCGAGCGCGCTTCGTCGTTCCGCCGATCAGGGCGGCGTCGGTGCGAAAAGCCCGTCCGTTCGTGCTAATCCGTTCATCTAATTATTATATTAATTCGCGCGCTCGGCGCAATGCCACAATCCCTATCTATTAATGATACGTTAATTTCGCAACGGCGCGCAAAACGCGCTGCAACCGCGTTTCTGCGCGTATCGGCCGACTTGGCTCTCCGGCGCGCTCACTGGAAAAGCGTGCGATCCTTTTTTCTGCCATTAACGAGTCATTCGTCTCGCTGGATGTTGCCGCGTGTCGAAAGCCGCTATTATGCCCGAGAGCTTGCCGCACGTACGCATTCCGCCAACAATGGAGCCATTATTGCGCTCCCCCCTAGACTAATTAGATAATACACACCGTAAGATGAGGAACGAGATAGCTTAAACCGGTGTATAATGACAATCCTCCTGCTCCTCCTCCTTCTACTCCTCACCGGCTTCTCGGAGAAATCCCTGAAAGGACGTTCCGAAGAACGTATCTCGTCTCGTTGCAGATGAAGTCCCTCCGATTGCTTTCGCACGCCAATCAGCATCGACGCGTGTTGTAATTAGGTCACTGGTATCTCGTGATCGTACACGCTCCTTATTGGACGTTGACGTAAAGCCATCGCGCTGATAAATTGTCGATCTCACACGTCATTACCTCTCTCGTCTCTGGATGAATAATAAATAATAAATTCGTAACGAGTATCGTTGGAAAATGTTAATTATCGAAATAGATTGCGTGTTAAGGCTGTTCTGCTAATTAACGTAATCGGCAAGCCAGCCTCTAAATGCGCAACGTAGAAACAAATTGCTCGCAGTTTTATAACCGTACGTATCTGTTTGTTTTTTTTTTTTTTTCCGGACATTAAAGCCTGATCTATAATATGCTCTCTGCTTCCTGTTTCTCATTCTCTATCTTTTTCTAGCTTGAGACATAAGGTTCAAGTCAAAGAGAGATAAAGAGAAAGAAGCAAAAGGCAAAGAGCGTACTGAAGATAAGACTCAACGTGAAGCTATCACGGAATCTCACGAGTGTAAATTACTGATTCGACACGCCATTCACTTTTCTTCAAATAATTAATATCGTTAGAAAATTCTAATTATCCGAGTACATTGTGTGCTCTAAAGTTATTCTGTTGGTTAATGTGCACTAATTGGCAAAATTGCCCAAACACGTAGTGCGGGAATAAATTATTGATAGTTCATGCAACCGTACGCATTCGTTTTCTTTTTCTTCTGGATATAAACGTGAAGTTATCGCAGTCATTATTAATTGAACACATCATTCTCGCTTTCTTGAAGAGGTAAAAAATTAATAAAATGCAAGGTTAGGAAACTACAGCTCACTAATTACTT